CCTGGAGCAGGAACTCAAGGAGGGGCAGGGAGTGTCCTCCAGGGAGTGACCTTGGGCAGGTCATATGACTTTTCTCAGGCACTGCCTTTGGAGGTGGCTGGGCGACAACTTCCTGCTGAGCTGAGCAGAACAGAAAGTGAACAAAAGAGACTGTCGCTTTAATGCATGTTTCTATGCTCTTCCAGAAGCTATGACACAGCAGGCTGGAGAACCTCCCCTCCTGAGGGTGGCTCGGCTCAGGTCCGACGGGAGAATATCATTGTCAGTGGCGGGGGCAGGGGTTAAAAAGCATTAAATGCCAGGGTCCAATCTTAGATCTAGGTGATGAGAATTTCTAGGAATAGCGTCTGATTAAAGATACCTTTAAAAGCTGATGCCAATGCTGTGGGTTCAAGGTCCATGCTTTGAATTGTGAGGGTCTACACAACCCTTCTACACCCCCAGGGGTGTGTGGGGAGGTCCGATGCACAGGCATTCCCCCCCTCAGGGCAATCAGTTGCCAGACTGCAATGGGCCCTGCTCCCTGCTGCTGGGGACAATGGACAGGCTCCTGTAGGCGGAGTTTACACCCTACTGATAATGTTCCTGGAGACCCAAGGAACAGGTCAAAGTTAAGCTGCCATCCTAAATCTAGGATCCACCCATCTTGTCATATGTATACCCCAATCCCTCCTCTTCCTATTGCGTGTATGTCCCTAGACCACCCCCTCATTACTCTGTAACCTATAGTGTAACCCCTTCCTGTGACGCATGTCTTTACCTGTAATTAGTGGGTGTGCATGCCCCCAAAAGGTATATAGGCCTGGGTCAGCAATATAGATCTCTCTCAGATCTCTCTCTCTGGCTCCCCTCTCTTCCCTCTCTCCTCTCCTCTTTCCCTTGTTCCCTTTCCGGTCCTCCTTCCTCCTTCCCTTCCCCCTCTCTCCACGTGGACCACCAAGCTGGGCTGAGGTGAGCAATGCTACCATGTAATGTATCTGACTGCATTATTGTAATATCTCTCCTCTAACTCTCATACTCTCGATGACTTTAATATAATACTTATATATCTCAACCATACAATTGTGCTTACTGAACCCGTGGGTAGTAGCAGCAGGTGGGGCTGGCCCCCCTACCCACCCCAAACTTAATACTACACAGGGGGACTTGTCAAGCACCCGAGTGTGAGTCAGCATGACCATTTTTCTATGCCAAGCTCATCCAGTGAGCTTTGGTTTGAATTCCCCCAAGCTAAGGGACTCACTATTTCCCAAGGGTTTCCCTTATAAAGCTTATCTGTTGAACATTGACTTGGAACCCCCCATGGACAGGGAATTCCCCCTCTTTCAAGGACCGGACTTCCAGGTGTTGCAGCAACTTTGAAACGTTTTCCTTCCAGTGAGCTGGAAGCAGCCTCTCTGGGGTGCCACTCCCTCAGTCCTCACCGGGTGTGGCGCACCCAGCCCAGGAACACCATCTTACCTGAGCTGACTGCCCCACGTTTGAATGACTGGGTGGGGATGGAACATCTGGGTCACTCAGAATTCAGGGCTCAAAAAGCAACCTTGTGGACTCAAAAGGCCTCCATTCAAATGCCCTGAAAAGAACCATCCTCCTAGAGATGGAGTAGTCTAATATTTTCCAACTCTGCCTGCAAAAGGTCCTTCTAGGCAATACGTTCAAAAGAACCTACTGAACCAGAATCTCCAGGGGAAGGTTGTGGGCAGCTTCTTATTTAACACTTGCCACAGGTGAGTATTATGGCTAAGAAGTCTGAGGAACACCTGTGAGCTGGTTAGCTCGCTAGTTCTGGATGCAGAAGTTTCCAGGGGACCAGTTCAGAGATGGGAAGAGGCTGGGCTTAACAAGCGACAGCAGGTGCCGGCAGAGGGTGGCGTTGGCTGGCTGGGGCTCCTTGGCTGGGTCTGGGCCTTGGGCAGGTGGTTTCTACAGGACAATACTGGATAAGCTAGGCAAACCCACGCGCCAGAGTTGGTTCTTTTCTGGATAGAGAACATTTGAAAAGTAGCCTTTTGAAGCCCACGAGATGGCTTTGGAGGCTTGCCCTTTGAGCCGGGGGCTGCTCTTCCAGGCAATATCTGTATACTTTGTACTGATACTGTGAGTAGAGGGGAAAGGATTCCACTTTTCTGAGGACTCGAGATTGTTGGTGTAAAACACCCCTCACCAATTTTTTCCACCTTCAGCTTGGAAGCACTCACTTGTCTATGCCAGGAAATTTGGAAGACAGCTACTTGGCCAACTGACCGGAAGAGATCTGTTTGTGCCCATTCCAAAGAAAAGTGACCCAAGAAAATATTCAAACTATAGAACGATATCATTGGTGTCACATGCAAGTAAAATTTTGCTGAAGATCACCCAACAACAGTTGCAGAAGTACATTGACAGGGCGCTCCCAGAGGTTCAGGGCGGCTTCAGAAGAGGATGTGGAACAAGGTCTATCATTGCTGAAGGCAATCTTGGGATGGATCGACACAGGGGCTGGAACAATGGACTGAAGATGCTGGTAACTGCGAGGTGACTGTGAGAGTGACACACGAGGGGGCAACGCTTTTCGTTGTACATAGGGTGCTAAGCAACCATTCAGCCACGCATCCACTCATCCATTCGTTCATCTGCCCTTCCATCTGTCTGTCCAGCCACCCACCCACTCATCCATCTATCCATCATCCATCCCCTTTGGTTTTTCATCTTGTTTTCATTGGGTTTTGCTCTAGAATAAGAACATTCAGCCTTAGGACACAATGCCGTCTTCCTGAGGACTTTTCAAGTGTTTAGGTGGGTTTCTTAGTTATCAAATGCAGAAATACCACAAGTGGTTGGCATTAAATAAACAGCCGTTACTTCCTCACAGTCTAGGAGGCTAGAAGTCGGAGTCCAGGGCGCTGGTTCTGGGGGAGTCTTCTCTCTCTGTTGGCTCTGAGAGCATGTCCTTGCCTCGTTGCCGCTTCTCCTCTCAGATTCTGAGTCAGAATCGGTCCCCCGGCGGGGAATTTTTGGAGCTCATGTGGCATGTGCCTTCCGTGCTGTACATGTACACTTGATCATGCTGCTTCTTCATATCTTAGAGAAGCTGGTTTAAGACATAGCCTATGCGCCGACGGCCTCACTGATAGAATACAGGAAACCCATTTGCAGTCAGATGGGGCTCGGATTTACAATACATATTTTGGGGGTGGGTGGGGAAGAACACAATTCAGTCCATAGCAGTGGGGGCAGAAGCATATGTTGAATGGGGGTCTGGAGGGAGCAGTTTATACACAGAGGTGGGGGAATAACAAAGAAGTAAGGCTAGAACCCCATCCCCACCCCTCATTAACTGACTGACTTTGGTTACTTAAGCTCTTTACTATCCTGTTTTTCAGTTTCAGAAATCTTTTCTTATTACCCTGTTTCCCTGAAAGTAAGACATCCCCCCAAAATAAGACCTACTTACTGTTTTGCCTCTCGCTGAAATATGACATCCCCCGAAAATAAGACCTCCCTGAATATAAGGGCCCCCCAAGCTACTATAATTCTGGACTTTGGACAGTAGTGGCGGGCGCCACAGCGCAGCTCACTGTTGGCTGCCGCACAGCTGGAGCACACAGGAAGTGCAAGGTCTCTTTTAATAAAACAATAAATAATAAATGTGTACCGTATTCTTCTTCATGGAAAAATAAGATATCCCCTGAAAATAAGACCTAGTGCAGCTTTGGGAGCAAAAATTAATATGACACTCATATTTTCAGGGAAACAGGGTAGTAGCTTGCTCTTGTTTAAAGGATTTAGTATCTTTTCTTTCTTAAAGACTCAACCTCACAGGCATCCAGCTGACTCTGACTCCGAGCCGGACAGGACAGGGTGGCAGTGCCCCTGTGAGTGTCCGAGGCTGGAGCTCTCCAGGGGCAGGGGCGCGGACAGCCCGTGGTTTCTCACCGCTCACCATGCACTTCGCAGCCCAACGCGCAAACCCCTCGGGCACGGAGCTCCTTCTACGGACGCTCTAGAGAGCAGTCCTCCTCTCTTTCTGTTGCCCCGTTTGTTTGCGTTGGTTTCTGCCCGTCAAACTGGAAGCATTCCGTGAGTGTCTCAGGGTGTGGTCAGACCGGGAAACCTGTGGGTGGGCGCCTTCGGTCAGGGCACTCACACAGCACCTCTGCAGCTCTTTGGCTCGGTCACCTTCTCCAGAGAGGAGGCTTTGCGTAGTCTGCCTGGGGCTGGGCCCCGGTGTGTGCGGAGAGCGCACGGGACGCTGTGGGTTCTGGAGCTTAGCCGGGCGCAGGGACAGAGCCACACTCTTCAGGAAACAGACATTCTCTTCATTACTGAGTCTGAACCCAGCTATTCATGTTCACTGTCAGCACAGCCCGGGGACCCCCCTACAGCGTCTCCCGGGTGGTCTACAACGGAGGGCACTGGGCAGCAACCTGCTTGGGGGCAGCCCCCTGGGGAGGGGCTAGGATGTGCACCCCACCCACTCTGAGGGTGCTGCTCCACAGCCTGCTGTCAGCCCCTCCCTGCCTCAGCGTCCCTTCTGACTCAGGCCGCACTGTGGGACCACCGAGGAGGCTGTCCACCTGACTCCCCAAGCTTCCGCAGTGCAGGCCAGCTTGGCCCCTTATTGCTTTGCTCCCTGCACACCCTGAGCAGAAAGGAGCAAGCCGAGCTCCACGTGTCCCCCGCCCCCCGCCCCCCACTGCTGGTGGCCGTCCCTCTCCCGTGTTCAGGGCTGTGAAAGTCCTCTTCCTTCGGCTCTGATGAACAGAGCAAACGATCTGGCACGATTGACTCAACCTCCCTCAAAACCTCAGCCTCCTCGTCTATAAAATGGGGCTGATTATCATTCACTTCTACTTCAGAGTTTGGGGGTGCAGGGGGTTCAGTGAGGTGCTGCCTGTAAAATGTCTAGCATGAGGTTTGGCACAAAAATGCCCAATTAATACTAGAAACCAAACCAAACACAAAAGCACTGGCTGTATCCGAAGGCCCTTGGAAAACCTTGGAAAGAATGAGGGAGTACCTTCCAGGTCCCTTTCCCATCGGGTCAAACACTGGTCTGGGTGGTCGTAAAAGGGGGAAAAGACACATTGAAGCTGCTGCTCAGTGCTCCTGGAGCTCGGGCTAGCGTCAAACTGGGTAAAACAAACAAATGAAAAGCAGAATGAGGTCGTTAGGACCAGAGGGAAGGGCTCATAATTTAAAATTCTATGTTTGGCCTCTGTGGCTTGCCACTCTCCCGTTCCCCACCCACCCCGCCCCCTGCCACTTATATTAAAAAAAGCCAAGTGTGGTATGAATCTACTAGGACAGGCGGGTTAAGCTTTTACACATTCACCAGGAGGCTTGTTAAATTGCTGTCTCCCACTCCAGGACAGTGTGGATCTGCAGAGATTCTGGTGGTCCTGCTGCTCCCAGGACCACACTTTGCATAACAAGAGACTAAATGAGGGAGCTTACCAGTCAACAATAAGCAGACCGCCATAGGAAGATGTCAGTTGGGGGCACTTTTGTCTGGTGACCTTTGACTAGTTCTCTTTCGGAACCCAAACCCACAAGACATCATATGTGCAGACATGAGTCGGCCCAGAAACGTTCCGGTGCACATGTCAGAGTGTATCCCTCAGGGCAGGACATGAGAGGTGGCAGTTGTTTAATCAAGGACCAGCCCTGGGTCAGACCCCCTTCCCTGGTGCTCAGGACAGATGTCAGGCTGACAGGCAATCCTTTTCTTCCCTAGACGTGTCCCTGGTGTCACATGGGCACTAGGAATGAAATCTGTCATGAGGTGAGTGTGGGGGACCAGTCTCCCCATATCTGAATGGGTCTAAGGAGTGGTTGTGTAATTGAGGGGTGAATTAAAGAGACATCAGACAAGACAAAGCATGCAAGGGCTCCCCTACTGTCATGACTTCAGGAGCCAGGTCTGAGCAGAGAGTATAATGTAATCTCATGAGTTTGTATAATTTCAGGCACACAGGTCACAGTAAGCACCTATGTAACAGGAAGGGGTTATACAATAGACATATACGCAGCATGAGGGGGACCAGCTAAGGGTATATATGAAATAGGAAGGGGTTGTACTAGAGGTACATATGTAACAAGATGGGCAGACTTTAGAGGCAAGAAGGCCGCCTACCCTTGATCATCTCTGAGCTGGCTTGGCCTTGAGTGTCTTCTCCAGGGAAACAATCTATTATCCTTATCAGAAGGGATTGTGTCCTACTTAGGGTGGGACAAACAATTGCCTGATTGCCTTAGATGTCTGACAACCATCAGGCAGATGACCTTCAAGAAGTTGACCCTCAAGAGCATAATGAGCAACCATGTGTTTGCAGGCAGCACCTTAAATTTGGTATTATTATGGGGGACGTTGTGGGGAATAACTTTTCCTTAGGAGAATGCGAGTGGGACGCATCTCCAACCCAGGAACGTGAAGGTTCCCTCCATGGGAGCCCTGGCCTCCCAGACTCATTAACGTTTGCATGTTGAGAGTTTGTCCGCATACACTCTCTTCCCAGCTCTGTTTTCCACAGGCGAGACTGGCTCTTTTAGAGACATCAAGGTTAGCATCCCCACGGAGTGGTTCTCAGAACCACAATTGAGATAGGTGCTTTCCACCAGTCTGCTTGAGAAATCTCCCTGACTGGACACTGGGCCCCTTCTGGACACTGGGAAGACAGCATGAGCAAGGCTTGATGTGGTTTGCAGGAAACCTCTGGGCTTCTTTGTCGTGGGTTGGCTGGCCAACCCTCTCCTCTTCCCTTTATAAAGCCCCAATGGAACCTTGCTGGAAATGAGCCAGTTGGTCAGATTCTGACCTCATGTGTCAGGGTAGAACTGTGCTCCAAAGGATTTTCAACGCTGATTTTTCAGAAGTAGATCACCAGGTCTTTCTTCACCGGCACCTCTGGGTGGACTTGAACCTCCAACCTCTCGGTTAGCAGTGGAGCATGTTAACTGTTTGCACCACCCAGGAATCTCACTGGCAATGAAGGGGAGTGGAAATGGAGCTGGCTTGCTGCTGGGCAGGGGAATGAAGAGTTGAGTGAGAGGTCACCCGGCTGGCAATGTTAGTTCTTTCCACTTCCGAACTATTGGAGAAGTGACGTCCTTCTTGCCAGGCTAGGGGCTTTGGGTATGTTCTTCTACCTAGTAGAGATGTTCATGTTAATTTACTCTCACCGGCACCAGACAGAATCATACGAAATTGCTGGTTGTCAGGAAAGGGCCAATATTGACAATTTCCCACCATCCTGCGTAGACCAAGGGTCAGCAGCCTGCAGCCTGTGGATCAGCTATGGCTCCACCCTGTTGCTGTCCATCACGTTTTATTGGCACACAGCCATACGCATTCCTTTCACACAACCATGACGGAGCTGAGCATTGCCCCTGGGGCCTTCGAAACATTTACCATCTGGCACTGTACAGAGAGGTGTAGACCCTCGTAAAAGTGAGAATCCATATATGAGCTATGTTTGTAGCTTCCTTGCCTCCCACCTCCCCCAGCACTTCAGTCTGTAAATGTTGTTGTTACTGTGAGCTGCCAACTCATGGCCACCCTGCACAACCTAGCAATGCTGCCCTGGCCTGCGCTGGCTCTGTGAGGGATGAGGCTTGGACTGTGGTGAGCGTTTTCATCAGCTACTTTTTGGAACTGTACAGGCAGGCTTCTCTGCCTAGTCCATCTGAGTCTGGAAGCTACACGGAAATTTGTTCAGAATCACAGCAACACGCAAGCCTGCACTGACTGATGGGTCACCAGCAGGAATGGAACCCACTTTCTTGCACATGAGAAAGGAGAGTTTGACCACCGAACTACCACTGCCCCATTAACCTGTAAATGCCCAAACAGCCCTGGCCTGTGGGGCAGTCCTGACTCTAGAGGGGTTTTGATTGTAAATTTTTACCGTCTTTCTCCCTTAGAGGAAGGTGACCAGACGTCCCGCTTTTGGCGGGACAGTCCCAATTTTTAACAATTTTTCCCGTGTCCCGCGGCATTTTTAAAAAGTCCTGATTTTTGGAAAGAATGCACGACAAGCTAGGGTATGCGGTTTTCGGCTGCCATGTGGCTATATCACCAGGATATGAGTTTTATCAATGGTGTCCCGCTTTACCAATGTTAAAATCTGGTCTCCTTACCTTAGAGTGGCTGGTGGGTTTAAATCAAGCATCCTGAGGTTAGCGGCTCGTGTTTACCCCACAGCCACCACCCGGGATCCTTAGCCTGTAGATAACTCACAGCCGTGGAGTCAGTGCTGAGTCACGAAGGCCCTATAAGTCAGGGTAGCACTGCCCTCGTAAGTTCCCAAGACTGCAACTCTTTACCGACGTGGAAAGGCCCATCTTTCTCCTGCAGAGGGGCTGGTGGGTTCTACGCAGCCCAGTGTGTCACCAGGGCTCCTAGCCTGTAAAGAGGAGGTGCTTAATACATCCAGGCTACATCCTGGAGAAGAACCATGCCAGATTGTTGGCCTGCTTCTCCAGACCTTTGGCTTCTGTATCTGACTCACTCACAGCCGTTTGGCAGGCAAACTCCTTCTGCTGCCAGTAACAGGCAGCTTCCTCTTTTCAGGGGGTGGTGGGGGGAGGGAGTGGGGAGTCTCCCGGGCCTTTGGACATCATTCAGCTAGCTCTTAGAGCCGTGTGCATGGGCTGTATTCGTGAAGTCAACATATGGATTATGTACATAGGCTTAGGAAGTAAGTGGGAAAGTGCTCTGCAAGGTTACCCTATTGCTTGGCCATCTCTACAATTGTTTAGGGAAAGTGTGACCTGTTTGATAGAGATCAAAAGCAGAGTGAAAGTCACCTCTCTTCCCAGACTAGGCTGAAGATCCAGAGAAAGGGGGCTGAGGTTCATCCACCTGAACTGTTCACTTGAAAGGCTTCCCAAGTCTGATTCTGAACATTGGCTGGCAGCTGTTTCTGCCCAGCTGGGGGGATATTTTCCCGTCCCCCTGGTAGGGGACGAATGGAAGCAGTGGTATCCTTTGCTAAAGTGGTGTGTTCTTTTCCCTCCTCAGGGTTGTCTGGTGTCACGAAGAACATAAAATAACCCCCCAAATGGCTACACACCATTACCTGTTCATTGTCAAGAAAATAAGAAGACACGGGTGAATGAAAAGAAGAAAATAACAATTGGTTGGGATTTTACAGGATGGCCAAGTGGTATGCTTGCCTATTCCAGCACAGGAAGAAGGAGGGCAGAGCTGGAGGTAAATATTTGGAAGTAAGAAGTGTCTGTCTCTCAATGTCAGTTATGTTGTAGGTTGAAAAGGCACGAGAGCATCTCGCGCCGGGGCCTGGAGACATTTCCTCGTTTGGATCCTGTTTTCCGTCTGTCACGTTGGCAGTTCCAAGGATCCTGCCAGTCTCTCAGAGTATGTGCCGCTGAGCTATGGGGAAAGCCTGGATTCTGGCAATGAGCACCAGGAAACGGGGAATGACTCAAAGCCAACTTTCTGTGGGCCTATTAGACTTTCAAATCCCTAGTGTTTTGGGCCGAAAGCGTGAAGGGACAAGGTTGCTGGCTGAATAAGGTGGTTTCTTGCTCCAGTAAACATGGGAACTGGGGAAGAGGAGGCTGACTCCACACTAAACTCTGTGCTTCTTATCTTGTTCCCCGGCTGATTTTATTGCTTCTTGGTGCACAGGGAAGACCACACAGAACAGTTAGTCTCAAACACTTCCCAGCCTCCTATTTCCTTTCTACCTCCCAGTTTAAAGGCGAGAAAGCCAGACAGTTGTTTTCCCAGCATCCCTTGCAGCTAAGGTGACCTGATCACACGGGCCTAGCTGTTAGGTCTACCACTCATCCGTCAGTTTGTCCTGCTATCACAGCTTGCATGTTGCTATGGCAACGGAAACTGGGCCACCAGGATTTCAAATGCCAGCATCACTCATGGTGGACGGGGTTCCGCAGTGCTTTCAGATCAAGACTAGGAAGAAGGCTTGGTGAGCTACTGCTGAAAACGCGCCAACGAAGGCCTTTTTGTTTGTTTGAAATTAGCCTCTCGGTCACAAAAGAATTGAAGTAAGTTTCAATGGTACTCTTCCTCCTCTTACAACCCCTCAGACCATGAGTCTGATGGGTCAGGAATCTAGAGAGTTGTTAGGGTTGTGACCCTTCTCTATCTTA